CGGCACCGCCCGCCGTGCAGAGGCGCCCGGCCGGGCAGGGGCTGTGGTACGAGAAGGCGGCGGCCGGGGACAGGAGGCTGGGGTGAGCGCGGGGACGGGAGGATGGAGGGGACCGGGGGCTGGGGTGTGCGCAGGGACCGGGAACAGGAGGCTGAGAAGAGCTGGAGGTGACAGGAGGCTGTAGGGGCCAGGAGGGTGAGGGGAGTGTGGGGACCGGGAACAGGAGCCTGGGGACAACTGGGGGCTGGAGGTGACAGCAGGCTGAGGGCAATGTGGGGATGGGGAACAGGAGGCTGGGGAGAACTGGAGGCTGGAGGTGACAGGAGGCTGGGATGAGCACAGGGACCAGAGGCCGGAGGCTGCAGGGAGCTGGAGGTGACAGGAGCTTGGYGCCAGGCCCAGGGCCCCTGGCGCTYGCTGGCCGCACGCCGCCCTCATTGACGCCGCCTTGCTTTCCCCTCGTGTCCCTTCCGCAGAAGGGTGGTGACCATGGCCAGGTCGCGCAAGCTGCGCGAGCAGCACGGCGCGGTGCTGCTGGAGGGGCCGCGGCTGATCCGCGACGCGCTGCAGGCCGGCGCCGCGCCGCGCACGCTCTTCTTCAGCGCCGTGGAGCAGCTCAGGGCGCTGCCCGAGGACCGGCTCAAAGGCGCCAACTTGGTCAAGGTCAAGTTCGARGACATCAAGAGCTGGTCCGACCTCGTCACTCCTCAGGGGCTCCTAGGTAAGGCGCCCTAGCTGTGGYCACAGCCCTGCTCCAGGGGCCCTAACTCCTCACCTGATAAGTGGACAGTGATTCTCTCTCCCCTGGCTTCCTCCCAGCACCCTGGCTATGTGGCCCGAGTGGTCCCGATAATTTGGGAGACTTCCTTTTCCCTCGGCTCATGTGGTAACTCTGCGAGGTCCTAGGGCCTGTTTTTAGCAGCCCCTTGTCCATGCTGCCCTGGGACGTAGTTCTCATTGCAAAGTGTCAAGCTCTTATTGAACTGTTCAGCAGCGCCTTCCTCACGCTTCCTCCGACACATAGCGGAGCTGGGGCCAAGTAAAGCAGCATCGTCCCTCTCCATGGGAAGCAGGAGGCAGGAGCTATTGGCACTTTGTCTCCCCAGGGATCTTTTCCAAGCCTGACTACACCAAGATGGCCTATCCTGCGGATCAGCTCTCCAACTCACTGCCCTTGGTGCTCATCTGTGACAACATCCGAGACCCAGGGAACTTGGGGACTATTCTGAGATCTGCAGCTGGAGCAGGCTGTGAAAAAGTGCTGCTCACCAAAGGTAAGAGCCTTTCTATAGGGAAAGGGGAGTTCAGGTTGATGAATCTGGGGGAAGGCAGGGAAGGAGGGGTCCTGGAGTGCTGCTCAGACTCACCGAGCTGCTTCTGCAGAAGGTGTTTGCTGGAGCTGCTGCACTCGCCTTTTCCTTCTCTCCCATCTCAGGCTGYGTGGACGCCTGGGAGCCCAAGGTGCTGCGTGCTGGCATGGGAGCTCACTTCCGAGTGCCCATCATCGCCAACCTGGACTGGGAATCGCTTCCCGAGAAGCTTCCCGCGGATATCCGGGTCTGTGTGGCCGACAACAGAGACACCGGCACGCAGACCGAGCCGGAGCCCGCGACGGGGAGCACTCCTGGCACCCTGGAATCCCATCCCGGGGCTCGTCCTGGGGCGGGCGAGGCCGCGGCGGCAGCGGGAGACGCTGGGATGGYGCTCGCGGCGCAGCAGTACCACGAGAGCTGGGCTCGGCCGCCCGTGGCCGTGGTGGTCGGCGGCGAGACGCAGGGGCTGAGCGCGGGCGCGCTCCGCCTGGCCGCCGGCACGGGCGGCAGGAGGCTGGTGATCCCCGTGGYGCCGGGCGTGGACAGCCTCAACTCCGCCGTCGCCGCTGCCATCCTGCTCTTCGAGGGCAAGCGGCAGCTGTGCGGGAGCCGCCAGCGAGACGACGAAAGGCAGGAGCTGCCTGCGCCGGGTTGAGCCGGGAGCTGGGAACAGCATCGCCGGCGTCCTGCTGCGGTCAATAAAGAGYGGCTGGGGCTGCTTTGTTTGCAGGGCTGTGCGTGTTGAATAGCCCTGGTGCCGGCAGAGCTCCCTGGTGCCCCGTAGCACTAGTGGGAGCCTCTGCCCTCTGGAAAACTCTGGGAAGGAGCTGAGTAGGGAGGCCCGGCCTCTCCAGCTGCCTCCGCATGGGGGCTCCTCTYGCCCGGCAGCCTCCGGAGCAGCCCGGGAGGGCTCGCAGGGCCACGTTCACGGCAGCCGAGGCCTGCGCGGCTCCAGCCCTGGCTCCCCAGGAGCCCAACCATGGCGGCCACCGGGGAATACGGGTTGTCTGTTGATCTAAGCGCAGTCCCCGCTGCACAGCCCAACACCGCGACCAACAGCTGCTCTGCACCAACACAGCCCCCCTTCCAGGGCTGCTCCCTCTGCCCTGAACTAGGCTGGGAGGCTCCTCTTCCTCCCGGGAAGCTCCTCTTCCTCACACAGTCCTGCCCAGGCTCCCTCCACCCCAGCCGGGCAGCACGCGGCAATCGGCACCTCCRAGAACTAGGTTATTCGAACAGTTTTATTACAAAGTCCAATCACCATGTACAGTTTTTACAAGGTCACTGAGGGGGCTCGGCTGCGCTGCTCGGGATGGGAGCGGGGAGGGACGTTCCGTTTCTTTTCAAAGAGCAGCACCAGTAACGTTGGGTTTGGGACACACCTACGAGAAAACAGCTCCATCGACTAACATAGARGGGGGGACGATTCCTACCGGAGACAGGATAAACGGGAGGAGGAGGGCGGGACAGCGCGGGAGGAAGAGGAGGGCAGAGCAGCCCAGCCTGTACCCACCACGAGCGGCCAACGCGGCCAACGCTGCCCACGYGTCGGGGGACACAAACGAGGGAGGACCCAGGCAGCTCCGGCCGAGCGGCGGGACGAGTGCGGCCGCTTCCCTTCCAGGGGCCGTCAGCAGTTGAGACTCGGGCTTGGCCTCGTCGGGGCACGCGAGCGGGAAGGGCAGGTGGGCCAGGGCCAAAGGGGACAATTTCCTTATTGCTTCCTTGGAGGAGTTCAGGCTGCAAGGGTGGTAAGATAGGAAAGAGGAGAAGAAAAGAGCCCCGAGAGCCCCGTCCACCGCTTGGTGTGTACGCTGGGAGAACACCACGCGGAAAGATTTGCCTGCTAGCTAGTGCCGTGTATAAAATAACGATAYGGGAACAGTTCTGGCCTGGTTATTAGAGAATATATCACCATGAAGCACAAGCGCCGTCTCCAAACGCCAACGACTCCCTGCTGAAAGTGCATCTCAAGGAGTTTGCTTAGGAGAAGGATTCACTGCGTAAAACAAGGCACCACAAGAAGGTTGGATACTGGGTCGGGCGTGCGAACACGCTGGAGAATCCACGAGCGGCAGGAGAGAGACCTAGTTTTAAATAACGTCTGTGGGCGCCCAGGGCCCCTTAGATGGGCTCGGGTTTTAGCTTGTCTGCTAGAAAGTCGCTCACGAAGGCTTCCACAATCTCCGGCGTGATCTCCTCCACATCCATCACGTACTTGGCGCGGGCGGACATGTCGAGGATGGTGAGCAGGGGCGCAGCCTCCGGCAGGTTGGTGTAATCCCGCAGCGAGTCGGTCATGTCATCCTGAGGCCGAGGGAAGGGGAGAGAAAAGCCCTGAGCGGAGGCACCGCAGTCAGGAGCGGCTGCTGCTTTGACACCGTGATGCCCGGCAGGACCAGCCCGGAGACGCGGATGAAACGGCCCGTTCCTCATCCAACCCGCGTGGCCGCCATCCCCCGCTTACCTCTCCGGCCACGAAGAAGAGCAACGGGGCCTCCTCCTCTTTGGCTTTGTACTTGGCGATGATTTTCTCGGCTATGGGCTGAATGAGCTGCTTGGCGGCCTCGGACTCGCCATCGTCCTCGGAATCTGCAGGGCAGAACGTGGGACGGCGTGAGGGCTGGAGGGTGGCAGCCCTGTCCCCACTCGCTGCCCTGCTGCCGGCTGTCACAGCACATGAACTGAGGCCCTGAGCTCTGCTGCGCAGCACCCAACTGCAGTCCCTCGGGSACGCGTTCGACCTCCCTCTGCCTCGGCTGCAGCCTCGCGCGCTGCAGCACCCGCTGCGGAAAAGCCCCTTCTCTCGCCAGCCRCCGCGGGGCGCAGCCCCTGCTCCGAAGCCAGCGTGCTCCGTACCTACAAAGAGGACGAGACAGGGGCCCTCGTTCAGCTGCACGGCGTTGGAGTCCGTCAGCTCCAGCACGGGCTTGGGGTGCCAGGGGAACTCGCGGCACTCCACGTCGTTCAGCACCTCCACTCGCCCCTGCCGCGTGATCACGTCTCCCTTGGGGTCCAGCACGATGAGGGTTGGGATACCTGCAACGGAGAGCCAAGGGGGCATGAGCCAAAGTGCCAACCTGYGAGCCAGAGGGCCGGGGAAAGAGCTGATGGCTCTGGCAGAGGCCCAGGGACCTGGAGCTGTTCCTGCCCCAGGAGAACACTGGGGCTTGGGAGGCCCAGCAGGGAGCAGGGCCTTCAGCACTGCCCTCCCTTCCCCTCGGGATGCAGGGCTCTCCGGCACGGACGGTCTTGGGGACAGACTCCCCACGCCAGACAGGGACTCTCCTCCAAGGCTTGCCCCTCCCTGCAGGTGCCCGGGCTGCATGGAACAAAGCCGGGAAGGGGCCAAGGCTGCTCTGGGCACAGCAGCCCCAGCGGGAGCGGAGGGGTCGGGAAGGCGGATGTGCAGCCGTGGCAAGGAGCTTGCAGATCCTGCAGAGAGCAATGCTCCTCTCCATGCCATCCACATGGAGAACCGTGCAGGACCTCCCCCTGCAGCCCGAGAGCCCCATCAAGGCCTGGGTTTCAGAAACCCCACGGAGGCGCTCGCTGCGTGGGGCGAAGGAACGTGGCGGCCCCCGCGGCTCTCAGCCCCACAGAACAGCGGCTCCCTCAGCCCCGGGCCCTTGTGCGCGCCGGGGCTGCCGCATTCCCCTCATTCCAGCCCAGGCAGCGCCGCATTCCTGCCCGCTCCGCGCTGCCAAGCGCTTTTCTGAGGAAGGGATTTTAAATCACAGAGAGGCCCATTCATTACCTGCCCGGATCCGGGAGAGCCCTGGGGCGGGGATGGGTTAAGCCGGGCCGGGAAGGGCGCTCCAGCCCCACGCTGCAAGGGAGAGCAGCACCAGCTCTTCCCGAGCCATGGAAGCACGACAGGAGCAGCGTCCGGCACGACTGCCATCCTCAGGCATCAGGATTCCCATCCCATCCCCAGTGCCTCTCTGGTCCCACACTGGAAGGCTGGCAGCCAGAGGGAGAGCCCACAGCCCCGGCAAGCCGCGTTCCTCCCGTGTGGGATGAACAGAGCCCTTCCGGAGCCTCCCTTCCCCGGCACCCTGAGGAGCCCTGTGCACCGCAGACACACAGAACATCAGCCTCGCGGACCYGGGACATTTTAGGACCTGATTTTGACACCCTGATTACCCCACGAGAGCGACCTGCAGCCACTGGTGATGTCCCATACGACTCAAAGCACCGAGACGTCACCCGCGCGCCGCAGAGCGCCCAACCACAGACCACGTCCCACCTCCATCCACTGTTTGTTAATTCAGTGCCTTTTGGGGGCTCTGGTAATTGCTCTGAGTCGCAACAACAGAATCTACTTATCGAGAAGAATCATAAATCAGCTCTTCCGCAATGAATATCGTATAGGCACAGATTAGAATTAACRTAGACGGGCTCGGCTTCATTTTATGCATTAGAAAATGGATTCGACTCCCACGGGGCGAGCTTTTTATGAAAACACAGGGGCCAAACGATTTGTTACTGAGCCTGACAATGCATTTATTTATTTATATATTACCCCCTCTATCTGACATGGAAATCTGATCTGCATTGAATCTGCTGGCCGGGTAATCAAATCACTGTGAGGAAAACGCGCGGAGAAGGCGCCGGCCGCAGCCCGGGCTGGGGCTGCTCTTTCCTCCCCCCCGGCTCTAGMGATCCGGGTCATGGTCCGTTCCCACCAGCTGGCAGGAGGGACCTGGAGCAAGTGCGGGGAAGAGGAAACCACAGAAGGGCCTTTCTCAAGACTCCCTGGGTGGCTGCGAATGCCAGGGAGCCGCCAAGGGCAGCGGTGGCTGCTCAGGAACCCACGGTACCAACCCCTGCTCGGGCACTAACCTGCCCGCTGCGCTCCGGCCAAGTGTCCTAGTGGGGGCAGCCCCCACGTTAATGCCAGCGCGGGCAGTACCGGAGCTGAAGGGCCCGGGAGGCAGAGACCACCAGCAGGGCCCGGCCAGGCTCACGGCTGCCTTTGCTGCTGCTCCAGCGCCTGCAGCCTGCGCCCATGCAGCCTCTGCATGAGCAACGCGCAGCCTCCAGCAAGACCAAGTCCTCCAGGCCCCAGCCCAGCAGGAGCCCGGCTCCGGGTGGGAGACCCCCTTACCCCTTATTTACCTTGCACCTCACTACGCTGCAGCTTGTCCCCTGCAGGACCAGCTTGGTCCCACGAGGGCTGCTTTTGCTTCCTCCAAATGCWTTGAAAACACCCAGGCAGCCTCTCCCCCTGCCCCTCGGAGCAGCTGAGGCTGCTGCGATTCTGGCTCTGACACACACAGTAAAGGCAAAGCCGAGGTCTACATCAAACGTGCTCCTCTCTGCCTCATCTCCTAACATAAACCAGATGCCACCTTGCTCTACCTCTGCAGTGCATGCCACAGCAAGAAAATGGAATTTAAACCTTCGAGAAAAGGCAAAACAAATAAATCAATAATTAGGTGGAAAAGATGCAAGCCAAAAACGTCTTCCAAGTTTCCAGGAAGAATTAGGTTGTTTATGGAAGTGCTGTTTCAGCTAAGAGCCTGCCTGGCAGGTGGTAGGAATGCGAGCGCGCGGAGGGCAGAAACACGAGGCAGCTCTGCCTGGGGCACTCTGCTTCGCTGTGTCCTTGTGTTTTGGTTAATATTACAACTATTCAGCAAAACCAGCAGAAAGGGCTGTGCAGCACCGGGCYGTTCCTACCTTGGATGCCGTAGAGCCGGTTCAGGCGCGATCGTCTGGCCTCATCTGCGTAGGGCACCGCTAGCCAGGGCATCTCACTGAAGTACTGCTTGAAGGAGTCCTCCGACCTGCGCACGGAGCAGCGCGTGGGGCCCGGCCTGCAGCCCCTCCTGCCGCCCTCTCCTCCTCCTCCTCCTCCTCCTCCTCCTCCTCCTCTTCCTCTTCCTCCTCCTCCTCTGAAAGCCCTTTCTGCACCCCAGGCCCACCCTGTGGGCTGTGGGGCCACCCTGAAAGCCCACAGTCCCTCCAGAAGGGCTCTGCAGGGCACTCTTTTTTCCCCCAACAGTATTTCAGACTCTCCAAGGTATCCGGGTACTCACCCGCTGCAAGAGACCCACAATTGAAAAATAAAGAGCTTCTCCCTGGATGGAGCTTGCTCTGCATCYCGGGTTCCTCTCTGAATCCCCCTCACTGATCTACAGAGCAGAACGTGAAGGACCTGGACAGACTTTCTGACACCAGAGTCAACTTGCTCTAAGAGCACACGTTGATAAACCCTAGCACCACTATCTTCCTCCACTGCCATCCTCATGCCTCAACCTCAGTCTTCAGCAGGTCAACATGCTGCCTATGAGCAATTTAACTGTCTTCTCTAAGCTCCTTTTTGGAGCATTTTTGGAGCATTTTCCTCCCCAAATGAGAATGCTTGAATGAAACCCAGGACAGAACTAGCCCCGAGCAGCCTGCTGTCATTCCCAGTTCTCCTCACCTGCGAAGCACAAGGTTTCCCTGCAAACACCCTGCTCTGCTGATCTTTGCACCCACAAACCACAGACTTTCTCATCCTGAGTCGGCCAGCCCCACCAGCACAGAGCGCGAGCGCTTCCTTACCTGTCTGCACTAACAAAGAGTATCTCAAATTTCTGCCCTGCCTCCTTGATTTTCCGGTAGGACTCCACGAGGACCCTCGTGAGGCTTCGGCAAGGGGGACACTGCAAGACACAAGGTGCCTGTGAGCCCTGTGTCCCCAGGYCAGTCCTCATCTTGCATCTTCTGGAGCACAAGGAGGCAGCCTTGCTGCCTTGGAAGTGCCTGGAGCTCCTGGCACTGCTAAAGCTGCTGGTACTCACCCAGTGCGCTGAGAAATAGACCCCGACATGGGAGCCCTCCAGGACGTTGCTATCTAGCGACTGGCCGTTGTTCCTTAGCAGAGGCCCAGCAACAACTTCACTGAAGGGCTTTGGCCCCCAGGGGAACTCCAGGCCTAGGGGGACAAGACACAGGAGAGCAAGGTGCTTGTGAGGCATTTACAGTTTCGCCAAGTTTCATCTGAAGAACATCCTACGTTCTGCCAAGACATGGAGGATCCTGCATGGAGATCTGCATGGGAGATGTACTGAGGTTCCTCCCTGTCCGAGCGTTTCCACCCCTGTCCCAACGCGCATGGCACCCACTCCCCTGCCTCAACCACCTCTGCTCCAGGAGGCCTCGGTGCCTGATCCGGCTCCCTTCCTCATCAACAGAGCTGGTTTCAACAGGGACGGGTGAGGTGCTGCGTGCTCGGGAGTGTGCAGACAATTTGCCACGGACAGATAAGGATGTTTAGCTCGATCCCAGCCCCGCTGCTTCCCACCAGCTGCAATTCCACAGTAAGCGAGAAGCGGATGGTGCAGGACTCACCACTACTTCCTCTGTATTTAAGGCTTTAAACATAGCAGCTCCCCATGCCCCTGAGCTCTGTTTTTTCTTCTTCTTTATTTCTTTGCCCCTCCCCAGAGCTGGACATTCAGGTGCTTTGGGAGCTCATCCTACCCCCTGTCCCCTAAAGCATCTATAGGCACCTCCCAGAGCCACCAATCTATACACTCAGCTGGAGCTGAGGAATCATCACGGATGGCTCAGACGCCAACTTGCGCTCGCTACACAGGTCCTGCCACCTGCATTAGACTAGTCACTGTTCTCATATCTTGCAGGAAGAAATGACAGGTTGGCAGCATGTTTGCACTGACAGGCTAAATGCTGCCTGACAGGTCTGCAGGTTTATTTTTCTGCACAATCTACGAAGGAGGGCACGCATTTGCTCATTTGGGTTTTGGCAAAGAGGAAGAGAATGAGATTTTACATTAACTCTCAGCACAGTAAAGCTCAGAAGCAGAAAATAACAGCATTTGTCTGCCTCATTTGTAAATAATGAGGGAACTCATTATCCTAACTGTGATATCTGTGATAAAAACCTGCTCGGTATTTCGGAAAGATGTGGGAAGCCTGGGCCCTCTACCCACGTACTTCCATCAGTGGAAATCCACACTGCTTGTTTCAGTTAGTCCAACTTTTCCCTCGTTAGCACTTCAGACACAATTCCTGGRGGGAAAATCTTTGTTCTTTTCAACAACCCAAACCAAAACACGAGATCTAACAGGAACGAAGCAGAGTTTTACGCTGAAAATAATGCAGCGCCCTGATTAGTGAAACCTGGCAGCAGTGGCTTGTTTCCTTTTCTTCATTTCCGAGGCAAGGGCACTGAATTAAAAAGGCCAGAGCTTGCCCGGGTCAGCAGGGCGCAGGGGGCTGCAGTCTCACCTTCAGGGTCGTCGCGGATCACCAGGAGGCCGTTCCTGCAGACCACCTTCCCAGTGGCGGCATCGATAAATATCAGGGAAGGAATGTTGGAGACGCGGTACTTGTTCCACAGCTTCAGCTGGAAGAGAGATGGGGAGGGAAGACGGGGAGAGGACAGGTAAACTTGGCAGCTCCAGCAGGGCCTGTTGGGGCGCTGGCTGCACCTCTTCTGCACAGCTCTCTCTTGGGGATGACAAAGGGGGGACCACGGCTGGTCCCACCATGGGCAGAGAGGGTCTTCTCTCACTGCGTTTGCTTCTTGGCAAGTGCAAGGGGGGATTTATCCCGTGTGCTGTGGTCAGAGGTGCAGGATGCTCCCATCCCCACGCTCAGTGCAATAATCTCAGCCCCAGGAGCGCAGCATTATCAAACCCTAAAAGAAAATCCCATCGCAGCCCAGAGCACAAGGGGAGGAAAGGAACCATTAGCTTCACATCRAGCCCCGCTGTGCGAGCCCTCCTGGGCCCCAGACGCCCGGCTCATTTGGGCCAGCCGTGACCCAGGCCCAGCAAGGCCAGAGCGGGAGCAGGAGGACATCAACCCGTGCCCAAGGAGCAGCACCGAGCACCAGGGCCTGTCCCATCCCGGATGGGACTCGGAGACACCCCCATGGCGCTGCTTCCCCCCTCAGCTCCCAGCAAAACAAGACCCAGATGTTTGCACTGTGAGGAGGCTGCAGCTCTGCAGATCATCTCTATTTGGAAATTAGGGACAATCCCATTTGTCAGGATCTGAATAATCTCGGGATCGGGACGAGCGCAGGGAGGGTTGCAGCCTTCAGGCAGCGCAAACTGCATCTCTGCGTGCGCTGAGACAGAGATCCAGGTGAGGGAGACGAGTCACATAAACGTTTAGATTTCAATGGCAGCTTACGAATTATTTCTTACTAAATCTTTTTACAAAAAGGTACCTGAATGAGGCGTTGTGAGCGGCCTAACTGCAACGCGCTGTTATCGAAATCCTCTTGGGTCTAAAGGAGAATATTAACCAGATCCAGGAGGAGTTTGTTAATCTCCATCTGCTAAGACCTGGGGAAACACAAYGCTTCGTGCCCAGCCCACCGGCCCTAGATTCCTCACACACCGAGTTCCTGGGCCAAGCTGACTCATGCTTAATGCTGATGCACAAAGCAAATGGCCTTGGGCATAAAAAAGGAGAAAAAAAAATGCTACTAAATGCAAAACAGCCCCCTTGCAGTGAGCGTGTTCAAACCGCAGAAGATAAAATCCAGTTCTGTGAAGTTTAAGGGGTGGAGAAAAGCTCTTTATAAGGATCACAAGCATTTTAGAGGGTGTTGCAAACACGGAAGAAATTACAGCTAGCAATCGGATAGCCCTCTTTAAATAGTACTTAAGCTTCGCTTCGTTTTGCCAAGTCCTTTGCGTGGGGAAAGMAGCTCCCCTTAGGGCCCTGCAGTGRGTTGTGGCAGTTTTGCTTGGCCACGAGGGCCAACGGGGTCTGCGTGSGCAAAAGCAGCTCCCCCTTGGAGGGATGGGGTTGGGATGCTCTGGATGAGAGGAGAAAACGGCAGGAGACCCATTCCATGTGGAAGGACTCACCGGCTGCCGCTGACCCTGGGTCTTTTCCAGCGGTGGGAGTTGTCAGCCCCCAGCGCTGTGGTCCTGCACGGAGCAGTGTCCGTGTCCCAGCGCTGCTTGGAGCTTGCAGCTCCAACTAAGTGACCCAAACCGGGGAGGAGAAACCTCTTCCAACACTCGTTCACCTGCCTAAATACTGCAGTTCCTGCGGAGCCCTGCGCTGATTCCAATGAATCCCTCCCCTGTGGAAGGCTGCGGAGCTACACGCTGCTTGTCAACTTATCGTTCAAGCCCCTGGTTAAGACACCCGCGAGCGTCGCTTTGCTGCCACAGCCCCACRCGGGAGGGACCCTGCGTCCCCGCTCGCCTCCTGTTAACCTGYGGCTCTCGCATTGTGCCCTAAGGGGTTTACAGGCTCGGCAGGAGCRAGCGGGCGCTGCAGAACAGAGGCTCCCTGGCGCCGTGGGTCTAAATCCAGTTAACGCCTGTCCCTGCAATTCCCGCTTAGCTCGAGCAGGGGTTTCTGCTCTGCCGGGCTTCCCTCTGCCCTTCCGTGCTGCCTGCCCACAGCRGCCCTGTCCCCAGAGGTGGGACCCGGGACGGGAACAAGACGTGGCCACGCAGAGAGGGAAGCAGCTCGGGGCAGATGGTGCGTGGCCAGGCTGACCCGAYGACACAGAGGACACTGAGCAAGCGRCACGGGGAGAAATTAATGTCTGTTGTGCTGCTGTTTCTCCCTGGAYGGAAATTAAAACCTAATTAGGAAATACAATGGTGAGAACGAGGTCTGCTCCGAGGGCTGTAACGAGCTGGGGAAGGAGGGTCTGGAATCCAACCCAYGAGATGGATGGAGTGACCCTGGGCGCCGGGCCCCATGGCGAGGCGCAGCCGCTGCCCTCGGCGCATCCCGCCCCGCCGTTGGGCTCTGTCCACAGCCAAGGGCAGCGGGGCCGCCGGGCAGGCCGGCCTGGCGCAGGCTTCCCGGAAAAGCCGCTCCCGGCCGAGCGCCGCCTCCCGCTTCCTGCCCAGCGTTTCCTCCAATTCTCTGCCTCTCGCTGCCCCGCGATGACCCYGTCTCCGCAGCGGCCGCGCGGGCACCTTCCCGCGTTCCCGGCGCGGCTGCGAGCTGAGCAGCCCGTGCGGGGCAGCGCAGCATATGGCTGCCTTGGCGCGCAAGCTGCCTYGCGGGCGGCATCTGCCGCAGCCCCCATCTGATAGGAGAACGTTTAATTTGAGCTGAGCTTAACAGCGCTTAATGTGATGTGCGGAGAGCAAAGCCTCGGGGTCTGCAGCACAAATCAAAGGCGGCCCCAGTGCCTCCGCATACGGAGCAGCRCGGCCCCTTGCTGCACTAACCACTAGCCTGCCTGTACTAACCTCTTCCTTGGATCCATACGGGAAGCACCATCTTTCCCGCATTTATCAGTCAACCAAGGGGTCAAAAAATGGAAGGAGAACAAGGGTTGAGCCACTCCACAGCCCTGCAAGAATCCTGGCACCCGAGGGACCTGCTTCTTGGGAAGGGACGCGGCTCCTGCTGCAGCCGCTCACCGCATCCCTCCTTCCGAGCCCCGGGAACAAGGGCAAGACAAACGCAATGCGCAAGGACGGAGGGAGTTAAAACGTTTGTGAGAAAAATCTAAGACACGTGTCGAGGCGTGTCCTACGTGGCCCCTATAAATTACACCCCCAAATGACTAGTGCTGAGTAAGAAACAGCTATGTAAACACTAAGGTAATGAGAAAAAATAATAATTTCTCTCCCTGAGGAAGGGATATTTTTTCCATCTGCTTACAGGAAAGGCAGGGAGTGGGGTGGTACTTCAGGGTCTTGAATAGAAATGCGGAGTCTGTCTTGTCTCCAGGCTCATCCGTCACCAGAATTGTCCCGTTTTGCAGCACCCATTTCCCATCTGCAGCGTTTGCTTTAGCTGCTACTGCAAGCGCTGATAGGGATCTGCAGGTCACTCTCCTCCTGATCCCAGATCATTAGGACACAAACACATCTGACAAGGCTGCAGTTTAGACAGGGTTCCCAGCAAACACAAAGGCCTTTAAAATCTGCAGGGAAAACAGGGAATTTTTTCCTTTAAGGCACACAATGAGGTACAACTGCGTTTCCTGGTTTGTTTTCAACAGCTAATCTGAAGGGGAACCTTAAACAATCAGATCAAGGGAAAAAAGAGRATCTCTTGCTGGGAAAACAATAGAGTGTTTGTTCGTGCTGCAGTGAATGGGGCTTCAGGATGTCCCCGCTGGGCGCGCGGCCACCGCCCAGGACCCTGCAGCACCAGAGACATCCCCAGATCAGCCTCGAGCGCCATAAAAACCAGGGGCACAAGCAGCTCACCTACCGTTTCTGGAGGCCAAAGGCAGGAGRATGACAGCAGAGCAAGGACGGCTCCTTGTCGCACGGAGGAAGCGCAAACCCGGCCGGAGACGAGACGGGGCCTCTGATACGAGAGCGTAATCGCGAGTCCCGCACTAGCCATCAATGACCTGCACGTGCTGGACACCAGGCTAGAGCCCAACGCAGCTCCTTAACCGGCACCTTAACAGCACCAAGGGCCATGGGCAGCCGATTAGAGAGCCCGTTTGCTCCCCTAATCGCTCCCTTATTTCATAGGCAAGCTTTCCCATTCAATCACACCCTAGAACTCCTGATGACCTGGGGAAGGACGAGCCGCAGGGAGCAGGGCAGGGAGCAGAGGCTGCTCCGAACCAAAGCAAGGGGGTTGTCCTAGATGTGCAGCAGAGCCCGGCACCCAGGACACCCACGGAAGGCTTTTGTAGATGGGGCTCCCTCTCGGTGTGGGAGCCGACTTTGGGTGTTCTGCAACTGCTGAACTAATTACAAAGAGGACGGGAGATGGCTATAAATCAGCAGCGAGGTCAAAAGTTTCGGCTACATCCTGACTCCTCACGGAAATCACAAAATACAGAGCTCGGGGGGTGGTTAGAGCCCATTACTCAGCGCGCAGACATAATGTGACAGGCAGGAAGGCCGGAATTGATCTCGCACCGCGACCGAGCAGCTGATCCGGCCCCCCCTGCCCGGCCGGCCCTTTGCGAGGGGACTTTGCACCTTCCCAGTGCAGCTGTGGCCTTGGAAAAGCCTTGGAAAGCCAGGACATCCACCCATGGAGAAAGCCAGTGTTTTCCAAAAGCTTGCAATGGAGAAGTCCTGCAGCTCAGGGGGAATCTGTTTCCTGTCTTTTCAGCAATAAGAAGCATCCACGTCAGGGCCGTATTCGGTTTGGTGAGGGCTGTGGAGAGGGGACAGTGACCCAAGGCTGGTGGGAATAAAAAACACAGAGGTGCCTCATGCTCGGAGGCTCTCCAGCTTATTCCCTTGCTGGCTTTGTTTGGTTGTCCTCCTGCTCTTTACCATTTTTTTTTTTGTGTTATGTATGAGTGATACACAGGAAAAAAACCTTAASTTAAGAGAATACTCCAGGAATGAGGCTTTTATCCACACACAAAATCAATGTAAACCATCCTCAGAGCACGGGTTTTGCTCTCTTATCCTCCACGTGAGTTAGGAAGCAATGTGCTTGGAGCCTGGCGAGCTATGGGAAACGCAAGCAAACAGCCTGCTGCCCTGCAAGGAGCCGCTGCGGAGCTTTAGGCCTGGTCACCTCTTCTCCACCCCTCAGTCAGCGATGATTAAACGCAGCTCCAGAATCCAGCTCCAACATATTCATCTCATTTGGCAGCTCCGCAGTCGGACGGCGCGCTCCGAGCCTTCCCCCCTCTCTCTCTCCTCCGCGTTCAATTATCTGCCTTCATCTTTATTCCGTCTCCAGGAACACTTAGCAACAGGCTCTCGCAATCAGCCACCAGCAGGCTCCGATCTAAGGAGCAGATTCCGCAGTTGAGATGACCTTTCCCTCCACTCATGCAAATTTCCAAGGAAGTATGTGAACAATTTGCCTTTCAAGCATCCCCTGCTTGCATTCTCCAGGACTTCGCTCTCCGTCTTCYCTTCAGAGGCATCAGAAACACCGAAATTTGGGGGTTTATACTAATGAGAACATGTCGCTTCATCGTGGTTAATTTTGTGGGATTTTGTTCCGTGTCTCATGCGCTGGCACGAGCTGATCCGTGGGCTCCGCTGGGTGCCGCTCCTTTGCCCCAACCCAGGCGGGAGGCTCAGGGCTGATTCCTTCCTAACAYGGGCACTTGAGCAGGGACTTCAGTCTCTCCACAGACCTCTCTAACCCAGAAAAAGGGAAATAATCTGCAGTGCCTTAAACTGGGAAAACAAACGCTTACAGATACTTGATATTTCAGATGATTTTAACAAGTATACTCTATTTTTTTCTGTTAAAAAATGAAAATTCTGAATCAGCAAGTCACTGATCCCATTGCTAGGAGCGGCATCTGGAACATCAATCTCTGCATGCGACTGCAGGAGCTGCCCATGAGTTCAAAGCAGCCAAGGCTGCTCTTGATCCAGATGCCGCTTGCTCCCACAGAAATGCCTGTGCATCAGTGTGAAAATGATTAAGCAAAAATGCTCCTCCTTTTTCCAAATGTATACCCCAAATCTGGTTTCTCTTAGAGGGCAGATGCTCATTACATACACTGCAACACATCAAAGGACGGGAAAGACAGATGTACCCACTACGACACAAGAGAACAGGAGCCTTAGCTGCTTATGCTCCTCTTTCCTCTTAAAACATCAGGAAAGGGAATCCGGGACCCTCCTAAAAACAACTATTCAACAAGGAGACACAAATCAGGCTGGGAGTGACCCGGTGCCCGGGTTTCTTCACACACTCCTTAGCAAACACCAACACGAAGCGAGCGTTGCGCAAGGAATGCGGTCCCAGGAACCTCTCAAGCACCCGAGAGAGGCCGCTCCAAGAGGCAGGACAGGGAGGACTCGCTGGCACAGGCCGGGCAGGCAGGGAGCAGCTTATCTGAAGTGGGGAGAAGAAACGCTGAAGGACGGACGAGAGCCCGTCCTGCCTCCCACTTGGCCGCATGAGACGCGAGCTCAACAGCTTCACATCTGCAATGTAGARTGAACCCTCATTACATGTGGCGCCGGTACCACCTATCATCAGCATCACGCAAACAACAAGGCCTGTGGGCTTACCTCCAGCAGGGCCTTTATTGTCTTTTTTTTCCTCATGGATAGAGCAAAATATAGTTATGTTCAGCTATACGGTCATGGTTCTGTTCAACCAGCCTCTCCGAGCCACCCGCTGCTGAATCCTCCTGAACAGGACCACGATGCACTGAGGAAACAGCTTGTTAGGAGGGTGCCAGCTGTGGCAGACACCCAGGCAGGTGACCTGGCACAAGAGGACATGACCCACAGGGCCCCACACTTGGTGCTTTCAGCCCCACACTTGGTGCTTTCGGCCCCATACCTGCCTCAAGCCC